TTGTCTTTTCTTCTCTTTTTTCCCAATTTATTTTTTTTATTGGAAAGCAAGCTCTGGGCTTGTAGTTCCTGGGATCCCTGGGCCATAGCATGCGTCGCCAGGCCTCCCTGCGCCCCACTCCCTCTCCTCCTGGGTTGAGCGTCTGGCCCCCGTGGTCATTCCAGCACCCTTAGTGCTTTTATTGTATAAGACTAGTGACCCGATCCACAAAATATGTGCACATTAAAAGGGAATTAATTAGAGGAAATATTTTAATATTGCTATTTTGTTTCCATCTCTCCATCCCAGTCTCTGTCTCTCTTTGTTTTTCTCAGCAGCCCTCCAGGCCTCCCTGCCTCTCCCTCTTCTTCTTTCCCGGCTGGGAGCGGGCAAGGCCAGTGGGGGCAGCTCCGCCCTCTGCCTGCCCTGGGGCCTCATTCTGAGAGAGGCTCCAAGAGCGAGCTGGGAGGGAGGGAAAGAAAGGGAGAAAAGACTATGAGCTGGTGGGCACTGTGTGTGTCTGTGCATGTATGCAGTTGTGAGTGAGTGTGAGTGCCAGCCCTGCCTCCCCCGGCTCCGTCCCCACTGCCAGAAGTCCCTACTCACCAGAGCCTGTTGCGCATGCAGCCTAGGTGTTCAGTTGAGCCTTTGGTCATTGTGGATGTTACGGACCCTGGCTCTTTATGTAGATAGACTAAGGGCCCAGTGCATGAATTCTTGCACTTTGAAAGGGACTGTGGGCCGTGAGCCTGCAGTGGACACAGGGGCAGATCTCGGCCCATCTTCTGTGCCCCCACCTGGCCCCTCCCACTGCAGCCCCTGGCCCCTGTCTGCTGGCAGCCCTCTTCCCCCCATTGCCTGACCCACATGCTGACAGCGCCAGCTCTGCTCGCACCTGCTGATGGCGCAGAGGGATTTGGGCCAGCTCCAGCAGTGGTGCAGGAGACAGCTGCTGGCCCTGATCGCCCCTCAGGAGCAGAGGGAGGTGGAGAAGCCCTGAGGGGCTATCAGGGCTGGCAGTTGATGCACCTGCTGACGGCGCCGGGTGATCAGGGCTGGCGCCAGGCACTGGCAGCGTGTGCGAGTGGGGGCTCGGGTGCCAGCAGTGCATGCAAATGGTGGCTCCAGCGCTGGCAGTGAGTGCGAGCGCCCGGCGGGACTGCATTGTGCTGGAGCAAACAATTTTCAGTAACTACCAGAGGCTCGCCCCAATGACCATGACCAGGGCCCCGCTTTGGTCTGGCGCTCCCGCTCACCTGCTCCACCATCCCGTTGCAGCTGATGCCCACCATGTTCCACACATGCCTCCTGATGGGCAGCACACATCATAGGGACCGGTTGTTTGGTTGTTCCACTGTTTTGTCTATTTGCATATTAAGCTTTTATATACTAGGGGCCCGGTGCACGAAATTCGTGCACTGGGGGTGTGCGGGGAAGGGAGTGTCCCTCAGCCCAGTCTGCCCCCTCTCACATACTGAGAGCCCTCAGGCATTGACCCCCATCAATCTCCAATCGCAGGATCGGCCCCTTGCCCAGGCGGGACGCCCCTCCCCCAG